GGCTGCCCTCACTCACTGCCCCCAATTCCCTTCCTGTGGAGCAGGCTCAGCCCCACCACTCTTGCCCCGACTGCTCTTCTCAAGGACCCAGTGACTGTCACACGACCAATCAAATGGCCAACGGCATGGGCCCGTCAGCAGCATTGTCACAGTGGGTCCCTCCCTCCGGCTGCAGTGCTTCTTCCACTTGGCTTCAGGGAGACCACTCTGGTTCTCCCCCTGCCGCCCGCTGCCCCTTCAGTCTGTGTGGCTGAGTCCTGCTCACCTCGGGAACCACTCAGTCCCAAGACTCAGCCCTTGGGCTTCTGTCTCTCCCTCTCCCCAGGTCATCTTACCTAATCTTCTGGCGTAAAAGATAACATCTATTCCAGGGATTTACAACCTTGGCTGCACATTAGAATACTTGGGCGGATTTGCATCAAAATCTCTCGAATGAATCCCAGGTATTCCTGCCTGCAGCCCAGGCGTGGCCCCGAACTACAGACTTGTGTCATAACTGCCTCCTCAGCATCTCCACTCGGATGCACCACATCTGAAACGGCGCCTCTTACACCTGCGCCTCCTGCAGTCCCCACTTATGGCAGCTCCATCCTTCAACCTGGTCAGGTTAGTCAGCCTTGACTCCTCTCTTTCAAATCCATCAGCAAATTCCCAGGACTCTGTCTCCGAATCCCCCAGGCCTGCTGCTGCGGCCCTGGTCTGAGGCACTGTGGCTCCTACCTGGTCCCCTGCTGCCACCTGCCCTCTCCTTCCCACCTGGCAGCCTGCGTGAGCCTTTCCAGGTATCACTTGTCAGAGCATGTCACTCTTCTGCTCAGAACTGCTCAGCTCTTGCAGAATAAAAGCCAAACTCCTTATAATGGCCCCAAAGGCCCTCTGGGACCCAATCCCATTCTGGCCTCTCCCTGATATTCCAGAACATACCAGACTTGCTTCTGCCCCTGGGTCTCTGGGGTCCCCTGGGTGCAGCACCCCTCCCCCGCCCAGCAGGGCTAACTCCTTCACTCCCTGGGCTCTCTGCTCTGATGCCACTTAGCAGGGGCCTTCCCTGCACTGGGTAAGCCCCAGCCCTTTGCTCCCTAGTGCTGACCACCAGCTGCTGTATTGAGTACTTATTATCGGCTTATTCTGTCTCTCTCTTTCTTAAGCTTCACTGGGGCAGGGACATTCTTGTTTGTCCCCTGTTTTATCTTCAGCGCCTGGAATAGTGCCTGGCACACAGTAAGTGCTCAATACATGGTCACGGGAGTAACTGAATGAATGAGTGACCTCATGGATGCCCAATACCCTCAAAGGATACTGGTCATTGTTCCCGCCCTCCGCCCCCAAGAACAGGGAGGAGATTGGAGGATACTTCCTGTGCCTGTTTTAGGAACCACTCAGCACAGAGCCTGGGTGGGTGCAGAAGAGCTCCCTGAGCAGGCAAGTTCCCTTCTCTGCCCCGCCCTTCCGAAGCCCCTGGAGCTGAGCCCACTGGGGTAGCAGTAGGGAGGGGGCCCTGGAAGGGTGTCTCACCTGGCATTTTCCGGTGAATCTGATGGAACATTCTCCGGTACCAGTCCTTAGGGCTGTCCACACTCTGGGATCAGAAGAGGCAACGTCAGGCCACCCTCCTAATGCCAAGCCACAGAAGTTTTTCCTTACTGGGCCCTTTTCCTGTGAGCCCCAGTGGTGGGGGGGGGGGGGCGTGTGATATCTTTACTGGCAATGACCTCGTGTAGGGTGTTATATAGGAATAAGATATGGAAAGGATCTCCATCAGTGGTGACCCTGACACAGAGATTTGGGGGGGTTCACATTTTTTCACTTTGCTTTTCTATATTTCTGATGTTTCTACAAAGAACACGTGCTTCTATGTCATGAAAAATTAATGCAGTAATATATGTAGAAATGTTATTTCATATCCCCTGCCTCACCTGAGACTCAGGACAGCCCTGGAAGGCAGAAAGGTATGTTACTGACCTCAGGTTCAGATGGGGAGATGGTGAACTGAACTAAAGGCAGGTGGCTGGCTGAGACAGGCATGGGGGGGCGGGGGAAGGCTGGTGGGGAGAGGAGGACAGAGCCGCTGGGAGTCTGGAGCCCGGCTCCATCCACGCTCACCACTCAGGACTCTGTGCTCACTCATTCAACCAGCCATCCACTCAGCAACCATGTCATGAGCGTTGTGCCAGGCCCTGGGACTAGAATCTAAGAGTGGCCCCTGCCGGCAGTGGCCCTCCACTGTTTGAGAGCCAGGGGGCCATTCTCTTACCCACAAACCATTGTGCAACTCAGACACATGACTGCCTGTGATTCTACGGGGCTCATGACCCCTGAAACCCATTCTGATTGAACCCCTGCTTTAGTCTGAGATGTTTGGGTACAGCCTTGGTTGCCCCAACTTTAATTCACAGAAGTGCTCAGCGTGGGTCCCCAGCTCTAGACTCACAGATCGGGGGGCAATGGGCATGCCGCTCTCATCCACGGGCCCGATTCCCTCGTACTTGACCCAGCGCTTATCCCGGCGTTTGCTGTCCTTGGTCCACGTGGCTGACCAGTTCTGGGGCTGCTGGGAGGCGGGGGTCTTCTGGGTCCCCGCGGGCCGGCTCCCAGGGCCTGGCCAGGTCTGATACCAAGCAGGGTCTGCAGGGTGTGCATGAGAGCATTAGCAACGGGCAGGGGCCCGCCTGACCTGGTCTGTCCCTTGGTTCTTCAGAATACTGATGCCCTTGGGTTTAAACATTTCAACATCTCCTTGCCTGTTGGAGTTGGTGAGGCAGACGCTATCATCTCAGCAGGACCACGGGCCTCTGTTTGTTTATGTTTTAATTAAAGTGAATAAAAATGGATTTCGTCCTGAGACATCTGTGCCCACCCCACTCTGCTCTCCTGGGGCTGACCTAAGAGCTTCCAGAATGAGGGCTGAGAATCACTACTTGCAGAGAATGCCCGGCCGTCCCAGCTGGGAGGCAGCAGGGTGGGGCAGAAAAGGTGCTGGGCTTGGAGGGGACAGATCTGACTTCAGACTCCAGATCTGCCCCTACTGGCTGTGTGATCTTGGGCACAACAATCAGCCTTCCAGTGCCTCCGTTTTCACTTCACGGGTCATCATGGAAGGATTCAGGGGGATCTATTCTAGAGGGTGTGACCGTGCCCAGCACAGTGCCTGGCACGCAGTAGAGAGGCTCTCGATTAGGGACAGAAACTATTCGCCAGACGTGGCTGTCGTGTCCTCAACTTCCCCGACCCTTCAGCCCCCAGGGCAGCAGCTTAAGGGGCTCAGCCTCCGAGACTGAACCCTCTGAGACTCAGCTCCTCACTGGGAAGATGTCCATACTTTGCAGGGATTGAATAGATGAGGCTTGTGAAGCATCCCTTCAGGGCTCAGCACGGTCAAGTGCTCAGCAATTATTTGTTAAAGGAATTAAACTCCTTGACAGAGTGCCTGCCCCACCGGAATGCGCAACAAAGGATGCCAGCTCCTCAGAAGATGCCCTGGGTGGGCCCGCACCGAGGGTGTCCCAGGATCCCTCGGACCCTGTGGCCCAGGCTGCGGTGACTCACAGGAGCCCAGGAGCTGACAGGCTCTCGAGCTGCCTGCCCCTGTGTTGGGCAGCAGCCTCAGGACCCTTGTGGGGTTCAGCCCCTGCACCCTTCTACAGCCCACATGTGCTCCCATTCCTCGCCCGTCCATCCCCAGTGTGAGCCACTCCCTGTCCTGCTGGAGGTCCCCCAGCCCCAGGGCAGAGTCCCCTGCACACTTCCTTCCCCGGGCACTGCGGGGAGGAAGGGGAAGGATGTGTCAGCCTCTCTCCCACAGCTTTCACTCTCAAGGGCCGGCATGCTCACCCAGGGAGGGGCAGTGAGATGAGCTCCGAGGGCCCTGCCCCCCCTGGGCTCCTGGACCAGGTTTTCCTGAGCAGACCCACCTGGGTGCCGGGAAGCCTCTCTCCTGGTTGGGAAGTACCCATTGCACACAGTCCTGGGCGCAGGATCATGGAACTGGAAATTAAGGGTGTTGGAGCCACCATTCCGGATCACAGGCACCTGTGGGGAGGGGCCAGGAGCGGCAGCTCAGGCCCAGAAAGGTTCCATGGGAAGGGTGGGCAGGGATGGCTGCCAGGGCCCAGCCATACCCCATGGTGAGGGCTCCAGGGCCAGCTTAATCCTTTTGCGGGAAATCAGGGGGGCTCCCTAGAGCTATCTTCTGACTCCCTTCCCAGCTTCCAGTCCTTTAAACCCTCCTGCTCCCCACCTGGCCTGCCAGGTCCCCACCACCTATGGGCCCACAGTAACCCTCTCCCTTTGCTGTTCTCACTCACCCGAGTCCCCCTGGAGAATGACCCTACATGGGCCCGGAGGTGGCCAGGGATGAAGTCGTCCAGGCTGAGCCCCGCTGGGTGGCTGCAGGGTGGGGCCTGCATACTTGGGTCGAGGTCAGAGGGCTGTGGGTGTGCCAGCAGCTCCTCTGCACGTCCTCTGTGGGGAAGGAGGGAGGAAGGGGAAGCCCTGCTGGACCCGCTGCCGTGCCCTCTGGGCTTGACCTCCGGGTGGGTAAGAGGGGACGGCTGTGGGAGGGCGTCAGGGCCAGCTGGGTGGGAGCTCCAGGACCCAGGAAACAGGCCACTCCGGGCACCCGCCTGCAGGCTGCCAGTGCCGGCTCCCAGAGGCACAATGGGCTGCTTGTTAGGCTGGGCAGGAGCTCTGGGTGGGAATGGGGGAGGGGAGGCCGGGCGAGGAGGAGGGGAGGCTGGCCAGGAGCAAGCTTCTGGCCGGCCTGCTGGCCAGCCCCTCTGGGGCTCTCACTACACAAGCGGCGCATTCCCCCAGAGGGAGGCAGAGGGAACGGGGGCAGCTGGCGGAGGAGGCCTAGGCACGCAGGACTTTCAGTTCCCCCTGCCTCCCCTAGGCCCTGTGTGCGCATCTGCTCACCAGCAGGCACAGGGCTTCCTCGGGCTGGGGAGAGGCCTTGGGCCACAGCAAGGCCAGCCGCCTACTGCCCAGCAGGGCCACGGGGCAGCGCGTGGGGGTATTTCCAGGCAGCAGGAACCACTCCCCAGCTCAGAGGAGTATCCGCTCCCTTGTTTGGCCTCTTTGGCTTGAACTGCGCCTCAGAGGGCTCAAGGTGCCAGTGAGGGTGGGGGCAGAGAACCAGCATACACACACACACACACACACACACACACACACACACACCACTTTCTCCTACACCTCAGGCTGTTTTTCAACAGAGGGTCTTCCTGGGAGCAACATGCTTGACTGGCCAGCCGGGTTCTTTGAACCCCCCTCCCCCCTACCCCCCGCCACAAATGTTAGCTCAGAGGAAGGGGCTTCAGGCATCCGGGAGATGGAGGTGGTAGGGCTGACCAACAGGGCTTTCCGACCGGAGAGCGGTGGTGCAGAGCGGGTGGGACTGGGCCAGAAGCTGAACCAACCATCAGCACCTTCTAGGGCCGACCGACTCTGGTGTTTTTGTTCTTTTAGGCCTGTGTGTGCCTGAGGGGTCTGGGGGCTCCCGGGAGGGCTGTGAGGGCTTGCGGGGTGCTGTGTGCATGTGGTGGGAGGTAAGTGCAGTGCTGTGCATGTGACTTGTGTGGGGCATGTGAGCAGCATGGGGTTGTGAGGACAGAGGGTGTCAGCTGTAGGTGGGAGTGCAGTTCCGAGGTGAGGATCATACCAGCAGCACAAGAATTACGGAGAACAGAGGGGATGCAGGTACAAGAGGGGCTGTGCTTGCTCCTGTACCCAGTCCCTGCTCGGGCCATTGGGGGCTGGAGGGTACAAGGCTGGGGCAACTACCTGTTTTTGGTTTAAGGGAGGATCTCTTCTGCCCTTGAAAACCCACCTGGGGTCATGGTTTTCCTGTGCCCACCCTGCCTTTGGGGAGAAGTGAAGAGCGGAAACCAGAGGAGGGCCACCTCACCAGCTGCATCCAATTAGGGCTCCTCCCAAAAACAAAACATGCAGACACCCCTCAGTCCCCGAAGCCCTCCCTCCCCTCATGGGGGAAATCGAGGCAGAGAGAGTGGGGGTTCGGATCCAGGGCAGCCTGGTTTCTAGCAGCAACCCTTCCCAGCCCAGCTGACTGCTTGTGGCCAAGTCAGCATCAGCTGTCCCTACTTTCAGCTGACCCTCCCTCCTTCCCAGCCTCCTTCTGCCCCACCCTCCTTGGCTCCCCGGGGAGGGGGTTCCCCCCCAGCATTTTCTGGGTTTTTTGATCCTTGGGGGGGGGGGGGGGAGTCTACCTCTCCCTGTGGCGCAGCTCCAGGGACATGCAGGGGAGGGTGTGGGAGGGCGGGCTGAGTTTGAGCTTGGCAGCCTGGTCAAGGGACATTAAGGGGCCTTCTCATAGGGAGAGGGAGGCATGGGGGAAACTGGTTTTACATCCAGCAGAGGACAGAGGGTGCCAGGAAACCTCGAGCTCCCCCCACCCCACCCCCACTCCCCAGAATTCAGACAGCCCTTCCCCTCTGCAGCCAGCTCCAAAGGGCTAGGGGAGGAGAAGGGGCTCTGCTGTGGTCCGGACTGTTCCCACCGGAGACCTTGCCCTGGCCTGGGGCTCTGCCCTGGGCGCCTCGCGGGTGTTTTCTAGCTGCGAGTCCACGTGGACAGGACAGGTTTTCTCAAACCTCCCTTTTTGTGGATTGAGGGGAATACTTCTCACCTCTTTCCGTCCCAGAGTTTGGGGCAAGGTCCCCAAGGGAAGGGCTCGGTGCCGTCTCTTAGGGCTGGGCGCAGGTGCCGCCGACTACCCCTCCCCTCCCCACACCTACCTTCCCCAGCGAGCAGGTGGCAGGTGGCGGGGGCTGAGGACGCCGGGGAGGACCGGGGCATCGCAGCTGGACTCCAGCCTGGTGCGGCCGCGGCGGCCCTCGGGGAGGGAGGGCGGGGAGCGGTCCGGGCTGTGCTGTCCACCCTCGTGACCGCGTCAGGACGGGCTCGCGAGGCTGGGCGCCCGAGGAGGAAGAGGGATGGACGGGCCGCGCGCGTGCCGGGAGGAAGGACGGAGAGGCGCGGGCGGGCGGCGTTCTGCCCTCCTCCAATTTGGACTGTGAGCCGGACGGGAACCGGGGGTGGCGGCAGGGGAAACTGCGGGGCCGGGGCGTGGTCCGGGCGTGCAAGTGGCCTCCGTCGGGTCGCGCCG